ATAGGTGAAACCGCGTTATATTGAACTTGCTTTGATCCCCCCCCAGAGCCCTGCTTTACCGCGTTATATCCGAATTCATGTTATATCGGGTCGCGTTATATCAAGGTAGCAGTGTATTATTAAGTTAATTACGTCTGTGAAAGCAGATTTCATACACCTTATTGTGGCTGTGTTCACAAGGGGGGTTTATTTTTTGAAACGTCAGCCATCAACAAAAAGTCTTGAGCCCAATTCTCCAGCTCTCTCTGGTGAAAATCAGGAGCAACTCCACTGAAGTCAATAGAGTTACACTGGAGCCAGGAAAGAATCAGGTCTGTTGCCTTTTACTAGGCAACTACTGTAAAGAAATTTCCCCCTTAACTTCTAGAACCTGCCAAGATATGATTTCAGGGTTCTATGTCTTCCATTCAATGGATGTAGGCATCACTAATACCTAATACAGGACAGGGGATATGCAGTAGCTCTCTGTACTGTTTATGTGTCAGTGAAGTCATCTACTGTAGGAGAAACAAAAGACTGACCCAGTGTCTTTACAAATAAAAAGCTTTTTGGCTTAATTTTAAATGAAAGATTACAGTAATGAGGACGTACAGTGGGCCTTATACTGAAGTCCTGACTTTGTTGTTATTCAAACTTCAGTTTTTACATAAAAAATGCAGTTTTACACAAAGACAAGAGTGAACATACAAACTTTATAGCAGCAGTTTCATAGCCCATATTTATGCTTGGAAGAATTAGATTTATATCAAATTTCAATGGATAATGTGGATATTTATTTTTAACTATTTTTATCAATTTACATTTTCACAGTTGTGAGAAATTACAGGGGAATTAAACAATGGGGAAGAGGGTTACATAATTATTTAATGACAGAAAAGCTGAAATTCAAAACGTTAACATCTGATAGCCATTGAAACACAAATTGTCAGTATCACATGTTAAAATATACAACTAATATTCTTAAATCAAACTCTAGTAAGTTCTCAGGCAGAATTTTTCTTACTTTGCCTAACTGTACATTTAAATTATCATTGATGGAAATATTTTTTAGTCGGTTTGTGTGTAGAAGGTGAAATTGACATTTCCTGACATTTGCTGATAAAAATCAAATCCTTTCAAACACATCTATATTGAAATGTTGGCTCTAATTATATCATTTAAACTAATGACCACAACTATACTAATTTCACCATACTTAACTCAATCCACTGTGCCTAGAAATCAAGGATTTATGAGACTGTACATGACTTTATGTAACATTGATCAAATTTGTAAAGTTTGAGGCTTAAGTTTGACCTGCATGCACTGCGCATCACACAACGCAAATCTGCACCAACAAATGGCATTTTCACATAATAAATGGGCATATCTCATTTTATCGTTCAGCAGGGGGAAGGACCACTTGATGAAGTGAGGTATCAGTGGCCACTAAGAGGGAAACAGCTGCCAGATCTTTCTGCAGAGTGGAACAGGTGGTGGCCCAGATGACAGCCATCTCCTGTGAGTTTGGGGCTTCTCACTCATTATGAAAAGGCACTGGATGATCAAGGGTGGGTGCTAGCTGACAAGAATTTCTGGCTGATGGACAGTGTCCTTCAGCTAGCATTGGCTCCATTGGCAAGGAGGCAGTAAATGGAGCATTGCTTCTTTTGCATCAGCAGTCATGGACTCCTTCTCTGGACCTGGTTTTGGTCCTGCACACTTTGAGCTTGTCTTTTCCTCTCCGCCATCCTCTACACTCCATGGTAATGTTTCAAGCACCCATGTGGAGAAACTGTTGAAGAGTTTAAACCTCAATTTGGAGCAGCTGGAGAAAGGGAAGCCATTTTGAGGGAATAATGGATATTGTTGTTAGGCTTTGTTGTGATGGTGTTGTAGCACATAGCAGCCTGTTTTCCAACTCTTTAGTGTACCCACAACACTATTGATTCTTATGACCTGCACACCATGACTATAGCTTTAACATAGCCACCTATGTGGTGTAAACCAGCCTCCCCAAAACTAAATTATATATTTATGAAGGTGGATGGCTATCCAAACTGCCTGCACCTATAGAGAAACTCAGCAGGCCTTGCAGCCCACTGTTCCCACACAATTGCCTTCCAACTCTACTCAGTGATTGCTTCTTAAGCAAAAGGACCCGTTGTCTGCTACCCTCCTCTAGTTTCTTTGGTGAATGCACTGCTCTCCCAACGTCCTTGCAGGGCCACCAGTCAGAGCCAGTACTCCCCTAGAATCCTGGAAGTTCTCTAAGGGGTGATAAAGTGCTTTCCCACATACACTGCAGCACAAGACATCACAGAGCTACTCTCTGTGTGCTGCTGACAATTTTTTTCCCTGCCTTTCATGGAAAAAAAAAAGTACAATATGAAGGCACTGCTCTTAGAAAACACATCGAAGTGTTTTTTCGCCAAACCCACTGACTGCATAGAGTAGCTTCAGCCAATCAGGAAATCAAAGCCAATACTATGGGGCTTTTGGGACCAAATATAACTGAGTATTGTTGCTTGAAGTTAAGGAAGCTCGAAGTTAAAAAAATGCAAACATTTGTCACAAAAAGTGTTGCAGTTCTCTTATGACATGTACATAACTTTAAATTGGAAAGTATCAAATGGATGTAAAATTCTTTCACAGACATATCACAAATATGAAAACAGGCAATATCTGACTAAAACAAATATTCCTTATTAATATTTTGCCCAGTTCTAATAAGGATTTGGAGGGCCAGTGAAGAGAGGAGAGCAGTCTCTGTAAAGCTGTGATGTCCCATATAAAGTGCAGATGGCAAGTTGTCAGTGTCTTGGCTTGGTCTCTTAAGTAGTTATGCTGGAACACTGGAAGAAGGATACTGCACCAGGAAAAGGCCGGGCACAGGATACTTCCACGTGATGCTGGGTGAAACTGGGAGATAGACTGTAACAAAGCCACAACTAAGCACTTTGACAGTATTTTTATTTATTGGTGGTGGGTATTATTTTTATTTATTATTTGTACTACTGTGGTACCCAGGAGCCACAGTCTTGGATCTGGACTCCTTTGTGACAGGCACTGTATGAATACTCAACTAAAAGAGCTCATAGTGGGATTTCCTAAGCAAGTTTGGTCTTTCCTTTGATTATTGTAGTATGTTCATTGTTTTCTAACATTTATGTTCCTTCTGTTACTAGAAAAAATAACAAAAGTTACTCTTTTTCTCATTAATGTAACCCATCTTCTTTCATTGCCAGGGTATTATATTCTACGTAGGCTTAACTATAACCTACAGGCAATATTCTATTCTTTGATAAATGTATGTATTTCCATTGTATTCAATAGGAGTTGCATGGTCATGCCTGAGGGGAGAATTTGGCCTTATGGATTCCAAGTGGAAATGAATCCTTTTGGTGAGTGTTAATCACTGGATTTCATATCCTCAATAAGACACATCTGATGCTCTTTGGGATCATTTTAGCACCAGCCTTTCAACTTTAAAAAACCAAAGCACTGATTCATGTATTGCCACTATTCCTCAGAGTAATTTTGTTAACAGTAGGGTATTCAAAACTGTTTTATTTTTAAAGGAAAAAAGTAACCATAAATAAGTGCTGTACTATTTAAAGGCTATGACAAAAAATATGTAGTTCTGCTTTGGGTTCAATATTGTCAGCAGTAGAATAGGAACAGGAGCTTTTATAGAAAATGTTCATGGTTTGTAAGACAGAAATCATTTTTACTGAGCTGAAACAGGAAAAACATAAAATTAAATGAACTTTTATATTGTATTATTATGAAAAAGATCCCATTGATATTGAATCAATAAAAATTTAAATACAACTGTTTTCCAGTTGTTGTGGATTTATTTATGTGCAGTATTTATGTATGTGTTGCATGGATGTAGTAAATACTTCATACATATCAAGGCTGACCCAAGAATAGTTGTTAATGTAGGACATAGTACTGTAATTTAGCTCTGCTCTTAGTGCAAACAAATAGACCTATAACACAGGAAACTTTCTAGGATAGCATAGGAAACTTATTCTTTGGAGCCAGTAAGCCATTTAGTTTAGCCCAGCCGATTAACTTTTTGCACTCCAAATTCCTCATAAGCATAGTTAAGACTGGGAAAATTACATAGTAACAAATGCTGATCAAAAATGTTTAATAAAAACTGGGGAGGAGTGGTTTGCTAAAAGTGTCCACTTTCTGTGAAAAATATTAATTTTTCATAAAAAAAACCTAAATGTCAGAAAACCATAAAGTTTTCAGGCAAAAAAAATTATCAAAATATTTCATGATGCATTACAACCATGCAAATGGAAAGAACCTTAGTTATATATTAACTAAAACCCAGTTTAATTTTGCCTAGTTCTCCTTCTCTTTTGCTCTTCCATTTTTCTGAATATAACCCAAGTAAATTATATATAATTTCTGTTCTATCTAATACTTCCCCTCTTTTATTTTCTGTGACTGACTGAAAACTCAGGATGAATTTCCTTTTCACTTAATTGCCATTTCTTTAATTACCCTCACATGACATGTAGTTGTGCTATTCTTAACCAAAGCAGAACTAATTCAGGGATTGTATATAATTAATCAAAGTAGCCAGTAGTGCAATATCTGAAATAACTGAAGCCTGCCCAGATTACAACAGCATTATTAGTATGTGATTAATAAGCAGTTAATGTGAACCAGCTCCTGCTACACATTTGCTAAGTTATTTCATCTTGCTTTAAAGTTATGTGGAAAAGTTTCAACCCATAGTTAAGTGATCTGCTTTATTTGGTAATACATTGTTAAGCCCACCATCTGGTCAAACAGCTGATGGAATTAAAACAACCATATGGGGGCCCCATGTTTCTCTCTTGGGAAATATTTGGTCTACTGTGTTGTGTAATGATTACCAGCTTCTAGCTTTTTTTAAATGCTAGCCCCAAAAAATAAAAAGAATTTGAAGATAATCAGAGTTCTGTTGACTCCTCAGTTAGGCATAATCTAGTGTAAAAGAACAAGTTGACACTTACTTGAGGACCAGGTTGACCCTGCAAAATAAAAAAGAGAGGGAGAGAGAGGGAGAGAGGGCGAGTTACAAAAAGATCATTAACCTGAACAGAACCTGACAAAGTTTTCTGATAAGGAGGTGATGAACATTCCAGCAAGAAGCAACCTCGATAAAATTAGATTATGGAGTCTCATCATTATGTTCAATTAGAACTAAAATTAGTGTCTTTTTGTCATAATTAACTGATCCATGGGAAATTATGACAATAATACACCTTCATTTAAGAAACTTCATAGTTCCACTGCTCAGATTAGTGTGATTCAGAAATGATGGAAGGACTTAAATTAACTATACAGGAGTGAGGGAGAAGATATTGGATCTATTTAGGTAAAAACACTGGGCTTTATTTATTTATTTTAAGCAGTTAAACTACAGTATCAGGCTTGATTTACCCCACTGGTGCAGGGAGGTGTAAACAACTCTCTATTTGGAATTGGAAAAGGTTCAGAAAAGTGCAACAAAAATGATCAGGGGTATGGAACGGCTTCCATATGAGGAGAGATTAATAAGACTGACACTTTTCAGCTTGGAATAAAGACAGCTAAGGGAAGATATGATTGAAGTCTATAAAATCATAACTGGTGTAGAGAAAGTAGACATGGAAGTGTGGTTTACTACTTCTCATAACACAAGAAGTAGGGGTCACCAAATGAAATTAATAGGCAGCAGGTTTAAAACAAATAAAAGGAAGTATTTATTCACACAATGCACAGTCAATCCATGGAACACCTTGCCAGAGGATGTTGTAAAGGCCAAGACCATAACAGGGTTCAAAAAAGAACTAGATAAATTCATGGAGGATAGGTCCATCAATGGCTATTAGCCAGGATGGGCAGGAATGAAGTCCCTAGCCTCTGTTTGCCAGAAGCTGGGAATGAGTGACAGGGGATGGATCACTTGATGATTACCTGTTCTGTTCATTCTCTCTGGGGCACCTGGCACTGGCCACTGTCAGAAGACGGGATACTGGCTAGAGGGACCTTTGGTCTGACCGAGTAGGGCCATTCTTATGTACTGTGCTAATGATGGCTGCCATGTCAGGGAACACACTTATCAGGGAGGTTACATGGTCTTTCCACCCCTGTCATAGGGAGGGTAGGTTTAAACTGAGGCTATAGTACCACAGGAATCCTGCCAGCAGAGGTGGCTTGAGGATACATTGATTCAGTGCATCTCCCATTCACACCCTCCATGGCAAGCAATTCACTCCCTTCGTGGCTTTTGTGGGGCAGTACTGGTCTGGTCAGCGGAGGGCCCCATGGCAGACGAAGGAGCTTTAGGAATCTTGTGCTGCTGCAATCCCTTTCTGGATGGACTTTCTACCACAGGGGCCCCTGCATCTTGGATTCCTCTGGAAAAAGTTAGCAAGTTCCATGGGTAAATGTGAAGAGGAAATGTACTATGGTACAATATAGTAAGTGTGATTGTGAACTACAACCTCACGGAGGATCAAATCACATTGGAAGACAGAGGAACTTTTACAAGGAGGCAAATGTTTGAGCTTTTAGAACTAGCTAAGATTTTTGGCTTTTCTAGTAACTCAATAATATTTTAGTTTAATGAGAAAAACCTTTCCTTTTGTTAAATGTAACTGCGCCTAAAGACATTTTAAAAAGAAATAAAAAATGTCTTCACTTTAGTTTCAGGATACTGTAATTCCTAAAATGGGTCAAAAGGTTTATATGGCCTCTAACCATCTCGATCTGTTCTTAACTATTTTTTCCGCAGAACTTTAAAGAGCATAATCGAGATGTTTTCTACCCAAGGATTATTACCTACAAACAAAAGTTTCTTAACAATGTCACTTTTTGCTTATAGTTGATCAGGTTTTATTACACTAAATAGAGAAGAAAATGTCCCTTTGAGTTATATATATGTCACTTTGCAATATGAAGTCTATGATCACCACATAATAAATAGTACTAGAACATTACAGAGCTATCACGGTCCTAGTGTAGCAGAATTGTGGCTATCAGACGTGCACTGAGAGAGAACTACAAACTCTCACCACTTAGCATGTGGTTGCATTTTGTATTCCTTCCTTTGGAGGAGTGAATCTCAGAACCAGACACTTATTTTAAAGCTTCATTTTTAAGCCAAAACAATATTTAAAAGTTGTTAAATGGTTCTAATGTAAAAGGAAGTTTCTAAATTTCTCAGCTCTGGGGCTGACACCTCAGACTAGGTTAATCCAAGGCAATGAAAAGAATTATGCAAATCCCACAGGATTTCCTAAAAGCCTATACTTTGTCCCCCCTGGCTGTAACAATTTTAAAGTCAGTGACACTTTAGAGGTACATGCTGGTCCCGATCCTGAAATCAATGAGAATTTGGCCTAGTAATGACTGCAGGAGTAGGCCCACTATAGATAAACCAAATTTGGAACAATGCAAACACACATATACAACCACAGACTCACAAACACATGGAAAGCCATAATATATTCTGAAATATCTATGAAAGACTATGAAATAATCTCAAAATTTTGACTTCCGCTGACCTAAGAACTGAAATGTAAAGGACGCCCAGGCAGAGCTTCAAAGTCAGTTGTACGCGTGTATATGCACCTAACACTTGCATATACATGTCCATACCATTGTTGAGTACAAACGTGCGCATCTAACTTGAAAATTTGGCCCAAATATCAGCAATACACAGATATTTACATAAATTCAGAAATATTGAAACCAACATTCAAACAATACTACGGTTTTGATTTAAAAAAATTAATTGATTAAACAAAAAATAGATTTGAAAGCTGCAACTCCTTTCTTATCGCCATACCTTGTGCCTACATGCTACAGAGTGTTGCAGAATGGAGGGTGTTGTGTGGCACACAGCTGAGTGAATTAAAGACTGGTGATGAAATTGTGGTCCCACTGACATCAATAAGAGTTCTACCCGTGATGTCAACAGAGCCAGGATTTCTCTCTTTAACTCTGCTTTTCTTTGATCATGTATACATTGCAGCATTAAGCCTCCGCTATGTACTAGGGGCACAGGGCTGCTTTTGCACCCCACAGAGAGAGTCAAGTGCAACTGTGCCTCATGGAGGCACAGGCCCAGCGTCACAAAGGGACTTCGATGTTGCCATGCTCAGCATCGCAGTGTTTAACTTTTAGGCACCTAAAAAAAAAAAAAATCACAGGAACAACACTGTGATCCACAAAACCTGAGTTAGATACTTAGGTTCCCTACATAATGAATGGGGGAAGATAGCTGCCTCATAATGTGACCCACAAAAGCCAGCATACTAGGTGGGGAGCTCCGCACCTCTCTCAGAATAGGTGCCTATCTCCGCTTAGTGATTCACGAGAGAGAACCCCTGTCCTGGAACCACACAGCTTAGGTAATAAATACTTTCTTGTGGGAATGTGTTAGATTTGTGCCTTGCTCCACACAAAATGGCAGCAGCAGGTCAGGGTGCCCACTTGATAATTTTTAACCCAGTGGTTAGAGCACTCACCTGGGATGCAGGAGACCCAGGTTTAATTCTCCCATCTCTGCCAAAGGAGGAAAAGGGATTTGTACAGAGGTCTCATCTCTCAAGTGAGGGCCCTAGCAACTGGGCGTGGGATATTCTGATGTGGGGCTCCATCAATCTCTTCTGTTGAAACTGTTGCACGATGGATAAATCATTAAAGAGTGATTGGAGCAGGGGGACTGGACCTAGGGTCTTCCAACCCTCCAGTGAGTGCCCCAACCTCAAGGCTACTAATTCTCTCTCTCACTCTCTCTGGCCCAATGACTATTTAAGTCTTTACTCACAGTGGAATAGCTATTGGGCCAGAAAGAGAGCAAGAGAATGGTTCTGTAGCTTAGTGCATAAGGCACCCGCCTGAGAGGTGGTAGACCCAGGGGTAAATTCCCCTGCTTCAATCGCTCTTTAATTATTTATCCACAGTGGCACAGCTTCAACAGGAGAGACTGAGGGAGTTCCTTATCAGAACATTCCATAGCTGACTAGTTGGGGCACTCTTCTTAGTGGTGTGAGGATCTCCTCTTCAATTCCTTTCTCCCTCTCCAACAGAGGGGGAATTAAACCTGGGTCTCCCACATGCCAGGTGAGTGCTCTAACTACTGAGCTCAAAGTTACAAGATGGATGACACCATCACCGCCTCCTCGCTTGTGAATGGGACCCAATTTGGTAGGCAGCCTCTGAGAACACCTACCCGATCGGGCCCTACAAGCAAACACCTATCTATGCCGGTTCGTGAATTGTTGTGAGGCTTAGGTGGGAGATAGTTGTATGGACACCTGGAGGGAGGCAGCAGTGCATATGCTCGGAGGCAGAAACTTAGTTGCCTACAGAACTTTTACCCTGAAAATTTTAGTGCCAAGTGAGTGCAGGTGCCTACAGGGTTTGGCAGAAGTTTTCTGGATTGCAGTGGAGCCTAAAACTGGGATTTAGGTGCCTAAATCTGGGATTTAGGTGCCTAAGTATCTTTGTGGATTGGGGCCATAGTGCTTTGTGGAAATCCTTGGGAGCATAAGGGCTACATCGCCCTTAATAAGGATGATTTATACTGGCTGTCTCAATCTTAATACCAGAATTATCCAGCATGGAACTGTATATATGGGTAACCAATATAAAAGCACCCCTAAGACAGGAAAAGATCTCCAAGTCTGCTCTAATCTAAATACAGAATCTCCTTTCAAACATGAACATATAATATGGAACCTTGTATCAACCAGGCTAATTATTTCATGGCTATTAACCCTTCTTGATCAATAAATATTTCTGTATACCCTTCATAGATCAGATATTTTATGTTACACTACCCAACAATTGCAGTTATAGAATTGTTTTTGTTATTGCTTCTCTTCATTTGTCTCCCTTATGTGTGTGTTGTTTTGTATGTAAAAAAAACAATGTTATACAAAAGAGATGGTATAGCAAACCCTCTACTTTGGTGCTGGCCAGGTGCAGATGGAGGGATGGCACCATGAGTCTGACCACTACCTTTCCACTAGCTGCT